TTGAAAGCCCGTAAGCAGCATCTAGGCGCGCATACGTGAAGATTTTAAGACGGGAGACACGTGGGGTGTTAATATGGTCCTAGAATTTCAGCCTCTCAACTTTCCTGGTTGCTGAGTTAAAACTGGTTAACAAAGTTCACTCGCTTCCGAACATACATGTACAAACACACACACACACACGGACGGCCTCACTATAATATGTATTTTTGCTCCCTGTAGCAGCGCTATAAAGCTACACAGCAGAAACGCATGAAAATGAATTTGAAAATTATAGTAAATTAAACAGCAGATGATTAAATTGCATGCAAAATTACTGCTCAGTCAAACTTGTCTGCAGGAATCGAATCATATTACAAGCAAGATATGTCAGAAGGTGTCAAAAGCTGCCAGGTAATTTCTTCTAAATTTGTTTTTGGATATACAAGACCTTATAGCATAATTATGCTTTTACAACATCATAATAGAAAAACTTTCGCGTGCACATGTGTGTCTACTTGCCTGCCTGATCTTTTTAGCTCAAGACCGTAAAAGATTTAGACGCAGCGCGCGACACAAATAAGCTCAAAAAATTTATCAGAGTGGCTTTCTTATCCATAACTGAACATTAAATATGTAATTACAGGTCATCACAGAAGAAGTGAATGGAGGTGACGGCTGGGCATTTGAGCGTGGCAGCTACCACTTAAGTGGCTCACGTGGACCTGAATCTGGGGCGTATCTGCAAATCTGGAAGAAAGTGAACGGACAGTGGCTGATTCATAACGATTGTTTCAATGTCATCAAACCTGCAGCCAAGAAATGAAACTGCAAAAAATGAGCAGCTTTGCTGCAGCCGAAATCATAATTATAAATGCATTTTGTTGTAACCACCGTAAATCAAAATTACCAAATCGGCTTGGTGGATATTTTTTTCCAGATTTAAACCTTATCCGGTTCCATGAAATGATATCATTAATATTTATTGTATTTTGATGCAACAGCGCTTTTTCCCTTTATTTCTCGTATTAATATTGTAAAATGGCGGATAAATCTTTTTTGCTTCCTGATCGTTATTATGCAAAAATACCGCTGAACCTACGCGAAGTGTTCAAAGAATCACCCCAGTAAAAGTGCTGTAAAAGAAACCTAAGCTAGAGCGCACCAGGCTTGCCGGTGATCATGTGTTTTTGCACTAAACTCGCATGTCACTAATAGCGGGAATGATCCCTACGCCATAACCTAAAACTTGGACTCATATTGGCCGAGCTTTGACTCTTTTCAGCATGCAGGAGAAAGGACGTCGGTTGAGATGAAGGTGTGCATTATAGAGCCGCACGGGTCTCCAGGCACATGATTAACAGTTTTTTGCATGAGGCCCGGTCGTTTCGGTAAATGCTCGCTTTTTGAAACCCAGGCTGGAACGCACCTGGTGGGGCCGTGCGATCATGCGTTTTTGCACCGGACTTGAATTACTCAGGTCATTAACTGTATGAATGG